TTTAAACAAGCGTAAAAATTTAAAATTTTACGACTTTACGATGCTTTAAGACACGATAGCATATTTATTTACATTAATTTTATTATATTTTTATTTACTTTATTTTACATAAATGTGTTTTTATTTTATTTTTTTATAATTTTCTTTTTAAATTCTCTTTTTATTTCAATTTATTTTTATATTTTAATTATATTTTATTTTAATCTACTAAATTTCATTGATTAATGAAATTTACTTTATTTTGCTTCTTATATTTCATTTTCATTTTTATTGTTTCGAAATTATCGATCATAAAAGTTTAATCGATAATAATTAGAAAAAAGTATCGATAAATATAAAAAGTATCAGTTTTTTTTTATCAGCAAATGTACTCATGAGACAACCTACGTTTGTTATATACAAATATTCGAAAAAATATAACAAAAGTGGTACACCAAGATATGAAAATGTCAAAAAATTGAATAAGATTTGCACCATTTAGGTTGCTTCGCTGCCTAAGCACCACTCAGGATCAAATTAGTTCATTGTACAGCTGTAAAGCATACGAGTAGAACCCAAAACCCCTTTGACCATTATTTTTTTCTACTTACATATGTATTCTGTATAGTTTTCAAACAAATGTTTTTTTTTCAAATCAAATGATATATGGATTAGAAATTTTTAAATTGGTTCTTTAATTCCAATATAGGGTTCAAAAACTCGAATCAATCTAATCAATAGTCATCATATTAGTATCTAACAAGCACGAACACGAAACTTATTAATTACAAACAATTTCTTTTCAGTTTGAAAATAAAACACACTTTCGATACAAATACAAACTGAGAACAAATTTTATATACGACTGTAATATTGAGGTTTCCTTAGTTTCAAATATTGAATTACACTGCCTCACACATCCGCCATCCGCAACACGCTCTATATGCAGTTGTTATTTGCATAATTAATTGCACAACAAATAATAGAACAAAAACTCGAAAGCGCAAACAACTACAACTACACACGATTTCGTGACAACAAAAAATGCCAGCAGTTTCGAAAACATATTTTGAAAACCCCCCAAAAAGCATCTCCACACATTTTATTGACAACACTACAACTGCCACTTCATGCGCAACATGTGTGCATGTAAATTGTTTAGTGTCAACAAATTTTATTAATTAAAATGTCATTCAAATTTAACATAATCATCTAAAGCAGCATTGTCATTTGCAGCTCAACTAAATTGAAAAACTTCACCAGCTATACAAGCATGTACATACATACATATACATATATGTATACTGTTACTACGAGATCACAACGATTTCCCTACATTTTGTGCACACTTTTCTCAACTTGCCACAACGCGCCGTATAGTTGGAGATCAACTGACAGCTGTGCAGACACAGCAACACTTGCGCCGGTTGTGTGAACACACACATACATAAATGCATACATATGTATATAAAATATATATATACTAGCAAATCAGCCACGCACCCAGTTGACGAGATGCCACACTTGGTTTCTAAGTGCACACGATTGTATGTGTGTGCGTATTTGCCACCGAAAAGTAGTGTCATTTTAGGGTCGCCCTCGCAAGTTACCAATTTCACCCCTTGTCAGTCAGTCACTCAGTGTTTTTGCGTCCTCACGGTCACTTTACGTTTATCCCTCTGCCTACTGCTGATTCACTAAATTCTTTTTTTTGCTGCATTTTATTATTTACTTGCCACGCTCTGTGCGATTTCACCCTCTTTGCGCTCTTTGCCTTTTGCCAAACACTCTCGCCACGCTTTTCACAACAAATCAGTTGCAGAGGGCGAAATTTCCTTTGTGATACACACATAACAGTAGGTTTGTGTCAGTGTGACAGCTTTCGAAGTGTCAACTTGGCAAAATGTACACAATTACAGCCGCTGCTAGCCGTCACTCGGCGCTGCTTGCCACTCGGATACACACATATTCCTTCATATCTGTTCTACCCACTTTTTAGCTTATTTTCTTTGCAGTCACCGTTTATTATTTGCTTTTGTTGTTTGCGTATGACAGCTGCTACCGTTGACAGCTTTTCGCCTGCTCTCCTATTGTTACTTTACATTGGCCATCCTTTAAATCGCCTACGCTCTAAATATTTGCATAAATACGCTCAATAAGTAGACTTGTGGGTCCTTAAGGGGTGGGTGGTTGCGCGGTAAGCGCCAGAGTTGCAAAAGTTTGTGTGTTCTAATTTATTAGGTTTATTAGTTGGTCAGTGTACGTTTTAGCAAGGATTACAATAGAAAACTTTGCAAAGCAGAAGTCGAAAGTTTAATTTAGCAAATTGATTTCTCAACTATTTTTAATTTAATTAAGCGCGAATGTGGAGCAAGTTTTATTATTTGTATATATATTTATAATATTATGATAAGTAAGCAAGATTTTCGCTCAATCTCTCACTTACGCTGTCAGCTGTCATAGCACTTCCCGCACCGCATATTGGCTCAGCGGTGAATACGATAACCCACTTGAAGGTGAACGGTAGCCTAATTATCGTTTCAATTTATTTATTGCTAGTTAGTTTTTTTTATGTAATATAAAGGTTTAACTATAGTCTAACTGTCACGTTACCCTACAACTGTCACTCAGCTGCGGTTTGACCACCAAACTGCCACGACGTGCGCGTAAGTTTCCATAGCTCGTTATTATTCGACAGTTAAACCGCAACATGTAATTAATACTTACAGTATATTTTTTATAATTATTTGTGTATAAGAATATATGTATTTGCATATCTTCAAAGATTGATTGTTTTTTTTTTATCATCGTTCCTATCTGCATCTATCATATTAAGCAGGGAAATATATTGTGAGCTGTTTCAAGCACACATTATTGTTGCGTGTAATTTCCTAACCACAAGTGTCAAATTTCGTAATATTTACAAACACACACGCGATGTACAATATATTAACATAATCGTCGTTATAGGTATACAAGCTTTCTTCATATCTTCCATATCTATAAACTGTTAACTGTAAGTCGTGGCGATTTAAATATTTTTATATATATTAATAGACATCAACCTAAATAATTACATCCTTACAAATTACATTAAAACAGAGTGGGAAATTCGAAATCACTCAAACAAAAAAAGAATAAAATAAAATCAAAGTTAGTTACTCATATATATATTATAATATATTTTGTTATGGTCTCCCTATAACTAAAGCAGTCACTTTTTCATCAAAAAATTCAGATTTTTTAGTCGCACACAAAATTTTTTATACTTGGCTATTTAAATGGGAATGTAAACAAAATTCTAAAACAAAAAGGGTTGTAAAAAACTTTCTGTGAAAGTTGACAACTTTGTCTTTTGCTGTTTTAAAAGTAAAACCCCGTTAACAGAGTTACAAAGTATCTTCATAGGGAACTAGAAGATTAGCTGAAATCCACTTTGATTAATGGAAAACACTGCATGCAAGTGACATAACATCTTTAAGTAAGAACTAAATTAATTTTCAGGTGAATCAGAATGTCACATTTCCTTGGGCTTTTTGAAAATTATGCTACAGTTAGAAAACCTGGCATTTGAAGACTTGAAAATCAAGATGACACGTTTCCTTGGGCTTTTTGAAAATTATGCTTCAGTTAGAAAAACCTGAGAGTGAAAAAAGTAAAAGAACAACACGCTTTAATTTAATATATTTACTCTAAAACCATTCCTAAAAATTGGTACAATCATCTTCATTTAATTACGTCGACAAAAACCCTTGCCTAAACTAGTGATGCCATCACAAATTTAATCTGTTTTTACTTAGTTTTTGGCTTTTGCGGCCGAACCCGTCAAAAAATGGAGAATGAGAGTTCGCTGTTAATAAAAGTTGAAGAAAATTGATGGTAGTTAAGTGCTGGCCACTACTATAAAATCAGAACGCGAAAAATAATTTTCATTCAAACCAAAAAGAATTTACGAAGTAACATGAATATTAAAAATATGTTGGATTTTTTTTTTTTTTTTTTTTTTTTTTTTTGTACATAGTATGGTGTAGAACAGCGCGACATACACATTGGTATCCACAATGTCAGCACTACACTGAACTGTCAAGCTGAAAAAAGCAATTTTCTTAATTTAGTGTTTTCCAATGAACACACGGGCAAACGCACAACACAACATATTTTCCGATGCAGAAAAACTCAAAGAATTAATGCAAAAGCGCAAAATCATGCTAGAAATTCACTTCCAACGCACGCGCACACAAACAACAAAGCGCGGATTAATATACGCACTTACTCGCCGTTTGTTAATTCATTTCACCACTAATATCACACTATATAGCGATGTTAATGTATAACAGCAGCCGTTTGTGTCTGTCAAATTTAATAAAAATCACTGATTTTGATTGATGTGGCACAACTGAGCAACGCAGCGCGAGCAGAGCATCATCTGGTCCAGTCAAAGTGAATTTATATGTAAATAACTTTTATACGTATGTATGTGTGCCCTTAAGCGCAAGTGTGATTGTCACGCGCGCTCAATGCTATTGTTTGAATATGCGGACATATGGCAACCACCGTGGCAATAAGGGGTTAAATGCAGGCAGCGCTAATGTCAGCAAGCATTCGCCGCTGTAGTTTATTACTTATCTCGAATAGCGGCTTACTTGTCTCTCACGCTGCCTTTGGAATAGGACCAAGTGTTTGCTTGCCACTTTCGCCGCCTGTTTGCCTTGAATTGAAACAAATGAAATGGAAGTAAGAAAAACAATATTGGAGCTACTAGTATTTAATTGCATTTATGTGCTCGCGCCGGTGTGTGTTACTACAACTCGATATTTAATAGGTTTTTGTTGATTTAGGCTCAATTGTTTTCGGGGGTGCGCACAGCATACAGCATCCGGACTAAAGCTAATCGTTTGCGGTTACTCAGAAAACACTTCACATAAATATATATTTATACATACACTTAAGAGCTTACCCTTGCTCTTTTGCTGCTGAAAAATTTATTAATTTTTGCCTCTTGTGTGCTCTTCTCTTTACAGTTATCCTTCATTTGTCGCCCAGCGTTGATTTGACAACGTGCTGCGCCTGCGGTTTGAGCGTTCGTACGTATAGCGCGCGTCTCCAGCGTTGCTACAGCTACTTACTTTGCCACACATTTGAGTTGTCTACTGTTTTCAGTCAGCTGTAAGCTGTCAACTGTCATAGACAGCTGAAAGTTTTCAACAAGCGCAACTAATCGTTGACATTTTTGTTGGACACAGCGTCGCTTTGGAGCGACTTACTCGTTTGCGCATAAGTTTCGTGCAACATATTTAAATAATAAACTTACAAACATACATATAAATACCTACAGACGTCATGTTACGCACAACGGCACACAGCACGAAGACGACGCGGCGGCATCCGCTGGCGTTATGCAACTCTGTCTTTGCGCTCAGCATCGTGCTGCTGCTACACACACATAACTGTCATGCGGACGGCATGCAACATCTCGCGGATAGCGGTGGTGGCGTTGGCATGGGCGGTATGGGTCCGCACTCCATGGATGTCAGTCCCGCGCCGGGTTATGGCCTACCCGCCATACCAAAAGATCCGAATTCACGCTGCGAAGAGATCACTATACCAATGTGTCGCGGCATTGGTTACAATATGACTTCCTTTCCAAATGAAATGAATCACGAAACACAGGATGAAGCCGGTTTGGAAGTGCATCAGTTTTGGCCACTCGTTGAAATCAAATGTTCGCCAGATTTGAAATTCTTCCTTTGTTCTATGTACACGCCTATCTGTTTGGAGGACTATCACAAACCGTTGCCGGTTTGTCGTTCGGTTTGTGAGCGCGCACGTGCCGGTTGTGCGCCCATCATGCAGCAGTATAGTTTCCAGTGGCCAGAGCGTATGGCTTGCGAGCACTTGCCGTTGCATGGCGATCCGGAGAATTTGTGCATGGAGCAGCCGTCGTATACAGAGTCGGGCAGCGGCGGTTCGGGCCGTGATGGCACGTCTGGCAGCGGCTCGGGCGGCAGTGGTGGTAGTGGTGGCAGCGGCAGTGGTGGTGGTGGTGGTAAACGTAAGCAGTCTGGTTCCGGTGGCTCGACTTCACAGAAATGCAAAGGCAAAAATTCAAAAAACTGCCAAAATTCCCTAGGAGAAAGAACAAACACAAAGGATTGCACGTGCTCGTGTCGCCCGCCACTCCTACTCCTGGGGAAGGAAGCGCTGATGCAGCCACCACACATGCATTACCCGTGGTACATGAATTCAACTGTACAAAGAATCGCCGACGTACCAAATTGCGCGATCCCCTGCAAGGGTCCGTTCTTCACAAACGACGAAAAGGACTTCGCCGGAATATGGATCGCCCTGTGGTCGGGTCTGTGCTTCTGCAGCACACTCATGACACTAACCACGTTCATCATCGACACCGAAAGGTTTAAATATCCGGAACGTCCGATCGTTTTTCTCTCCGCTTGCTACTTTATGGTAGCTGTTGGTTATCTATCAAAGAACTTTTTGCAGAATGAAGAGATCGCTTGCGATGGTCGTTATTTGAAAGAGAGCTCCGCAGGACCACACTCATGCACTATGGTATTTCTACTGACATATTTCTTCGGCATGGCTTCGTCGATTTGGTGGGTAGTGCTCAGCTTCACTTGGTTCCTGGCCGCTGGTCTTAAATGGGGCAATGAAGCCATCACCAAACACTCGCAGTATTTTCATTTAGCCGCCTGGCTCATACCCACAGTGCAATCGGTAGCCGTATTGCTGCTCTCGGCTGTCGATGGTGATCCCATTCTCGGCATTTGCTATGTTGGCAATCTTAATCCGGATCATCTGAAGACATTCGTGCTGGCACCGCTCTTTGTATACCTCGTCATCGGCACCACTTTCCTAATGGCGGGCTTTGTTTCACTTTTCCGCATACGTTCCGTTATCAAACAGCAAGGCGGTGTTGGCGCTGGCGTTAAGGCGGACAAATTGGAAAAACTAATGATACGTATTGGCATCTTTTCCGTCCTCTACACCGTCCCTGCAACCATCGTAATCGGATGCTACCTGTATGAGGCCGCCTACTTCGAAGACTGGATCAAAGCGCTCGCCTGCCCATGTGCACAGACAAAAGGTCCTGGCAAGAAACCATTGTACTCAGTACTAATGCTGAAATACTTTATGGCCTTGGCAGTTGGTATTACATCGGGCGTTTGGATCTGGTCCGGTAAGACGTTGGAGAGTTGGCGTCGCTTTTGGCGTCGTCTCTTCGGCGCACCGGATCGCACTGGCGCTAATCAGGCGCTCATTAAACCGCGACCGCCCATACCGCATCCGTATGCTGGCTCCGGCATGGGTATGCCAGTGGGTTCGGCAGCCGGTTCGCTACTCGCCACACCATATACACAAGCGGGTGGCGCATCGGTTGCCTCCACCAGCCATCACCATTTGCACCACCATGTTCTTAAACAACCGGCAGCAAGCCACGTATGACATGGAGAGTCAGGCGGAGCTTCAACAATGGGCGGTGGTGGTGGCGGCGGCGGCGGCAGTACAATTGGCGGTGGCAGCGTGCTGGGTGGACACGGTACTCTGATGAGCACAGCGGGTATGAGCAATAGTACGGTTGGCGGCGGTGGTGGTGTTGGTGTTGGGGCTCCTCCTGGCAGTATGTTGCACGGTGGCGGTGGCATGGGCGTACCAACGCCCGGCAATATGGGTATGCCTGGCGTTTATGGCAATGGCAATGGCGGTGGCGGTCCTGGTGGTGGTCCAATGGGTCCCATGGGTGGCAATGGCGGTGGTAATGGTCCCAGTACGGCACCCGGTTCGGTGATCGATTCACGCGCGGTGTCCGTGGTCGTTACGTTGCCTGGTGGGCCAGGCGCGCAACACCCCGGGCAGGCGCTGAGCGACTATGGTCCTATATAGTTAATGGTACGGCCAGATACAGCGCACTGGGTGTCGACGAGCAGTTTTTCGCAACTGTAAATGCAAGCGATTGCAGTGTTGCAATTTTCTTTAAGTTCACGCACTTTGGCGCTTGCGCCTTTAAACACATCTGAAGTGTTAATATGAATTGTAAAGTTACAACAACAAGGCGCCATATTAATTTCTGCTAATTTCTAGTTGTACAATAATAAAATATTTAAATATATAAATTTAAACGAGTATGTAATAAAGTAACGAGTAAGCAAGCTAAACTATATAATTCTAGTCCATTTTCATTGAAAGAAAAAAACAAAAAAAATATTGAAAATAAAAAAATGATGGGTTAAAAATTTAAAATGTATGAGACAACAACAAAGCACAATTTCTATTGAATATCACTAAACGAATTAAAGCAAAAATAGTCAATAGCTTATAGAGTGTCACTTGAACTTGCTACACCTTCTTTTCCAAATAGAAATGTTTAACAAAAAGCAAAGAATAAAAAAATAGCAAATAAACGTGTTGAAAAGTTAGTAAAAAGTAAAGCGATACGAAAAGCACATTAAATGCGCGCGAAAATACATTTTTTCTATAAAAAGTAATTTTATAAAAAATGTCTGTAAACATTATTTCACTTACTCCTAATTCATTTTTCAACTCTCTACTCAAATAGACTGATTTAAAGTAATATTAAAAACTAAATAAAAAACGTATTTCACTAAAAACGCGAAATGCAATATTTTAAAAGTACGAACTGTGTAAAAAACCCGCATCAAATATGTTAATCATGGAAATTTTAACGGAATGCATATGAAAAGCAAAAACAAAAACGACACGGTAGAGAAAAACAGTTTTCAAAAACGTTTTTCAAATCCCCTACCACCGACATTGGGTAAAAATTGCCACTGCCAAAAACGCCAACGCCATATTGCATTACAAAAACAACAAATAATAATAACAAACCCAACAATAACACTACTTATATGTATACATAGGAAATGCATGTAAATTTGCCAGCAAAGAAAATCGAATATCAGAAATCCAAGCAGTTAGCGGAGCTGAGTTAAAAGATAATTACGAAAAACCATCGTTTACGCAACCTAGTAAACGTGCAAAAGCATTTGTAAAATATATTTCATGTTTATTTGTAGCATTTATTACGCCTAACTGTATGTAGCGTTTGTATGTAAGCGTTGCTAAATATAAAAATATGTGGAAAATCATTGCAAAACACACTTTGTGAGTTTAAAATGAAAATTCAAAATACTTATGAAATGAAAAAATTGCACTAAAAGATTAATTATAATTAATTTATGAATTATTAAATGCCAACGAATTAGCGCAAGCACTGAATGTCCAACTGTAAATACTGAATTTTAGTTTTTTAATTTAATAGAATAATATTTTCTTATTTAAGCAATTATAAGCGCGAAATTATTTTGCTCAAAAATGCAAACTACCGCAAGTGAAATTGAATTAAAGTGCGGTAAAAAGTCTTTTACATAAACGGGAAAATAGTGTTGAAACGTGCAGTTGTGACCAATATTTTTTGATACAATACTTGGAAGAAAAATTATTTTGTATTTACGAAAAAAAAAATATATTTTATTTTGATAACTATTGGAAAAAAAATTATTTTTTTACATTTGTTTTTTATATATTGATTAGAATAAACTTTTTACATAATGACTAAAAATACATATTTTTCTACTTCCGAGACAACAAAATTCAAGCGCAATTTTTTGTTCAAAATTTTTTTGGAATATTATAAAATTTACTTTTACTACACAGCAATTCTTGTAATATTTGAACAACTTAACAAGCATATTGTTTTTTTTTTTTATATATATATTTTGCGAAAGAAATTTACAAAAAAGGATTATTCGAAATTTTTCCTGCAAATTTTTTGTGGTATTGATGTTTGCCCAGATAAACTTAATGTATTAGCATTTCGCTCGAAGTGTTCTCTCAAAACCAAAAAAAAAAAAAACAATTTAAATTGCTTTATGCAATATAATTATAATTGTTGTTTATAATATTAAAAGTTACTTCTCAACATTTTTGAGAAAAGTTTGCATTAAGCTAAAATTTAAAATTAAAGATATCTTCAACCATAGTTGTTTCCATAACAAAATAATTTAAATTATTTCCACAAAGTAAATATAACATGAAAATTTTCAAAAACTAATTGTTTTTAAGTAATTCTAAACCATATAAAAAAATTATTCAAGAAATTAAGTTCAATGTTGTGGAGAAAAAAAATTATTTTGCAAAACAAACACTATTTTTGTTCTATATATTATCAGATTGGAGCATATTTGAAAATTTTTAAAAATTTAGCAGAAAAAGAATTGTATTTAATATTAAAAAAAATTAAGTTCAATAATTTTGAGAAAAATGTGTTTTCCATTTTTGAAAAAAATATACAGTAATACCCAAAATTCCACTTTTTTCAAACAAGTTCAAAATTTTTTGAGAAAATAAAAGAAGATAATAATATTTTTTACCATGCAATTATCAAAAATTTTAAAATTGAATATTTGTGCCACAAAAATTTTTCTTCCAAAAGTAAAAAAAAATTCGCTTAATTTGCTGCACATTTCTCACTTGATTGCCTAAAAATCGTTTCGTAAATTTTCCACAACCATAAACGTATTTTGCATTTGTTTAACGCATTGTAAGTGTAAGAACAACAAAGAAATAATTATATTATAAATTATTTATTAATTGAGCGCATACAAGAATTTCCTACTTATTTTTAATAAGTTTATTTGTTTACATTTATAAAAAGTGAATAATATTAAGTATTTTTGTTTGATTTTCGTATCATTGGCATTTCTTGCTGCAAAGAAATTGTACATAGTTGCATGTAGTCACGCATTATTTACTATAAGTTAAAACAATTATTATTTTTTATAATTTGTGTGTTAATGAAAAACATTATGCCAACAAGTAGTTGTGTAAGCGTAAGCAAAGTAAATGTATTGTAATTTGCAAAGCAATCAAATTTATTTAAATRCTATTAATATTTATGCAAGAACGAAAATATATAATATGTATGTATGTATTAAAAGAAATCTATTGAAAAATTCTAAAAATGTGAGCAGACTTGGTTATTTTAGGATTAAAAAAATCTGAAATATTTTTTTGAGACCAAAACACTCAACATCAGCCATTTTTTCAAAACTCACATTTAAAGTTTTGCGGCTATTCTTATCAGCCGCCGTCTTTTCATTGAGCGAACTACTTTTCTATTGCTTTATTATATTTTAATTTAACTTAAACAGACGAAAAGTTAAGATTGTGTATTTTATTTTATACCTTATCTTATAATGATTATACTTTAACGATTAATTATTGTTTTTATTTAAAAATGCTAAATAAAATGCAAAGAAGAAATTATTTACAAAATCCAAATTTCAGTTGTTTTTATTTATTCTTTTTACCAATTTCTGTTCGTATTCAGAATTTATTTTTGTTTGTTTTCCGTACATAGAGAATATCTTTTATAACATGATATTTTTTCTTTACACAAAGTAATTATATTATGAGCTATTTTACATTTGCATATAAACGCACGACATACATTTATCATACTCGCATACATTTTTCTCCCTTGCGCATTTTCACCTCACAGCCAGCGCAACACCCACTTTTGCATAAAAATTTCTGAAAATTTAAAATTCACTATTGACATGTTCACACATACGCCCCAACCAGGCGAACAGAATCGTAAATGAGTGTCCCCCTAAAAGTATGCTACATATTTTTCTGTCAGCGATTTTCTTCACCTGGTGTGTGGCGTCTCACACACTAGTAATGGCTGCGCAACCTTAACAAATGTTTTGCTGCTACCTCGTATTTATGATCACCTGGCAGTTGGGTAGGTGAATGATTTCACGAAATTTTCTTGCGGCGACGTCGGCTGCGCAGCATTAAAGTTTGAAAGCGTATGCTTGGGTTTTGAAAGGGGCTGCATTTGCTTACATTCAGAGATAGATTTTTTTAATTTTGATGTAATTTTGAACGCGAGAAATAAAGTTCCACGCCTTAGTGGAAAATGTTGCCACCTTCCAAAATGCTAAAACTATCATAATATTACAAAACGTTTCTAATGCACCTACAACTACTACCAATGTGTGCGGTAATTTAAGAAATATATGTAAACAAAAATATTTGATTTTTATTATATTTCATATATTTTGTTTTCAGTTTATTTATTTGACAGGAATTAAGAATCTCAAAAATTATTTTACATTCTGCAATTGAATTTTTATTTATTTTACAAAATAAGCCTTGTCAGTTTGGTTAGTTTTTTTCAGGTTTAAATTATGCTCAATACACTTACTTTTTTTTAATAAAATTAAGAAAATTTATGTGCTTACATTTTTGTCACTTCTATTTTATTAAAAATGTGATTATTTGGTGTATAGGAATTTTATAAAATATAAAAATCAATTTTAGTCTTGAAAATAAATATCGAAAATTTCATAAAATTTAGCTGCTTAATTGCTTGCTGCTTAAGTAATTTAAAAATTGTATTTATTTTTAATACATTTCTAAAATCTTACCCTTAAAGATATTTATTTATAAACGATCGGTATAAATCCCTTAAATTTTATTTGATATCAATATTTTATTTTGTCACACAAAAGAAAATAATTCATACGTATCCTCAGAACTGCAGCTCTCCACTTCTTTGGTAAGCTTAATGTAAAATAAATAGAAGGACAAATATTTGATTAGCCAATTTTTATATGATAAAAGTAAATAAACAGTAAAATATGTAAAAATATACCAATGAAAAACAGTAAAATATTGTAGAAGTTGAAATGCGATGCAATGAAAATAGTTTTGCTATATAAACGAGTATAAATATTAATTAGACCTACTAGATACTCTTCACTGTGCATAGACTTATGTACTTAAACTCTCTTAAACAAAGCAGTTATAACCCTCCTCTTGCAATCAAAAATTAAAAAAGGAATAATATTAAATCATACATTTGTATTTATATTACTCCGATAAGTGTGTAGCAGTAGTAGTGAAAATAATGTAGCGTAAACTTTAATTGTTTATTATTGTGCATTAAGAAGAAAATGCATTTATTTGTAAATCACTGATTAGGGTACCTTAGGCATTTTAAAAATCTGTTATGATAAAATGTGCAGAATTGTAATCTAAGAATGTACAGCAAAAAATAGATAAATGCTTAGAGGTGGCAAAACATTTAAAAATATATTGTTATATTTTGAAAAATTTAACAATTTCACGTACCAAAGTCGAAACCTCTAGAAGTTAAATTTGCATAATTTTTCTAAAGGCAATCCTCTTTACGAAATTTTTCAAAGAGCCGAAATAATGAAAACATGGTAGCACGCATTTGTGGCAATGCAGTAAATTTGCTTTTCGAATTCAACAAGAAAAATTACTTACAAAATTTATTAAAACTGCTCGATAATTTTACGTGAAAGCTTTTCCAAAGCGTGTTTTTTTATTCTTTTATTCTGGTATGTCAGAATTAATTTCGAAATATTTAGTGTGTTTCAGTTTCTGAATACACCTTAAGCCTCCCTTCGCGCTTTTTAAACAGATGAAAGCAATGGATTTTTAAAAAATCCTTATACATTTATGTAAATATAATACCTCATTAAAGCTTTTAATGATTTTCTTGCACGAAAGCTTTCACTTAAATCAGTTTTTCTTTATCAAAGTAAGCTCTCAGTTATCTATTCATTAATGAAAGCATTTAGTGGCATTATTTGCAAAGTTAAAGTTTTTACTTTAACCAGTTTTTCTTGGACAAGGTAAGCTCTCAGTTATCTATTCGTTAATGAAAGCTTTTAGTGGCATTATCTACACGAAAGTTTTTACTTTAACCAGTTGTTCGGACAAGGTAAGCTTTCAGTTATATATTCATTAAAGCATGTTCAATATTGTAACCAAGAAGCTTCGAAAAACACTTCTTTTTCCTTACCCGCGTAAGCTATTACTAAAGTTTCCAGTTCACAAAAGCTTTCATTTTATTCAGATTTCTTTATACTTTGGATTATTAAATGTGCAGAATTGTAATCTAAAAATTTCGAACCATTTTTTTCATTGCAGCTTTCTTTTCCTATATATATGTTATACCCGAGACATGTAGTAACAATACCATAGTAAAGGTATCATGGTATTCTGTTTACTACGTTGGTGACACACATGGCAATGTAGTAAACTC